TCTCTCTTTCTTTCTTTCTCTCTCTCTCTTTCTTTCTTTTCTTTCCTTCCTTCCTTCCTTCTCTCTCCCTCTCTTTCTTTCTTTCTCTCTTTCTTTCTTTCTTTCTTTTCTTTCTTTTCTTTCTTTCTTTCTTTCTTTCTTTCTTCTTTTTTCTTCTTTCCTCTCGTTTGTTCATTCAATAGGGTCTCACTCTTGCTCAGGATCACAGCCCACAGCAACCTCGAACTCCTGGGTCCAAGTGATTCTCCTGCCTCAGTCTCCCAGGTACCTGGGGCTACAGGTGCAAGTGACCGTGTTTGGCTTTTTTGTATTTTTGTGGAGATGGGGTTTGCTCATCTCTGTTGCGCAGCCTTGTCTCCAAACTCCTACATCCTCCTGCCTCAGCCTCGCAAAGTGCTGGGGTTACAGGTGTGAGCCACCACGCCCGGCCTGTGATTTCTTTCTCACTTGGTCTTGGGGTTTCTCTTGAGAGCAGCTGTAAGCCACCAACAGTGGGTAAAGTTAGTTGGGGTGTGTGGGTCAGGTGAGACTCCAAGGAGGCAGCACAACAAAACCCATGAAATAACAGAAGCATTTCTGTCGTTACAGAGCCAGGAGAATAAGAGGAGTCGCTGGGGAGCCTGGAGGTGGCAGGGAGCTCAAACGGTGTCTTGAGGGAGGGAGGTCCTGCTGTGGGACTGAGCCTTTCTAAAAGTCCATGGTGTTATCGCTCAGGCTTTCTTGAGGGGGTTGTGGATTGGGCGGTTTATAGAAAACACACATGAAGAATGAGTTCTATTCACATGACCCTGGTGTTGTCCATTGGGTTTTGCTGTGGCTGGCAGGTGTGGGAAATGTCGGGTTTTGGGTCGCTGGGTTGAGGAACAAGGAGGCCATATGGCAAACTATCACGTGGGGAGGGCAGGTTTTCTGTAGGTCAGAGGCGACAGGGTACGACTGGGCTTCCAGCAACTTAAGTAGGCCTAGCAATGGATGTGGAAGCTACAACTGCATGAAACAAATCTGTGAGTCTCGATCATCCATACACTGGCAGGACACCCAACACATCTCTTGGACATGGTAGCCTTTCAGATGTAGTATCTCACTCAGCATCGTCTCCGTCTCCACCTAACCTTACAGTTAGCTCAACCCAAATGACAGCCTCCTAGGTGCGCTGAGATTCAGAAAGGAGGAATGGAAATCTGGTGGAAATCTCCCTTCTTGTCCCTCTCTCCTCCCACACTATAAATATTATACGTTTTTCCCCCTGAGAATAAGGTACAGACTTTCACTCTAATTATGAATTTACTAAAAACAAAAGTATTCTCTTACATAACCCCAGTTTATCAAAATCTGAAAATAAACATTGATACAAAACTATTAGTCAATCTACAGACCTTCAAATTTGACCAGTTGTCCAATAATGCCTTTTTTTTTTTTTTTTTTTTTTGAGACGGAGTTTCGCTCTTGTTACCCAGGCTGGAGTGCAATGGCGCGATCTCGGCTCACCGCAACCTCCGCCTCCTGGGTTCAGGCAATTCTCCTGCCTCAGCCTCCTGAGTAGCTGGGATTACAGGCACACGCCACCATGCCCAGCTGAATTTTTGTATTTTTAGTAGAGACGGGGTTTCACCATGTTGACCAGGATGGTCTTGATCTCTTGACCTCGTGATCCACCTGCCTCGGCCTCCCAAAGTGCTGGGATTACAGGCATGAGCCACCGCACCCGGCCCAATAATGCCTTTTATAGCAAAAGAAAAAACTGTTTTCTGGCCCAAGATGTGTATTATAATTACGTATTGTACTGACCCGTCACGTCTTTTTCGTTCCCTTTAGCCTCATGTTTTGTTTTGCCTTTCATGACCTTGACATTTTGAAGGAGTGTAGGTCAGGTATTTTCTAGTAGGTCCTTCATTTCAACTTTGCTGATTTTCTTCATGATGCGTTTCGGGTTATGCATTCTTGGCAGGAACACTGCAGAAGTGAAGCTGACCTTTCTCAGCGCATCCTATCAGGGGCACGTGATGACTGCCCCATTGCTGGGGATGTTAACTTTGATCACTTGATTTAAAGTGACATCTGCCAGTTTTCTATACTAAAAAGTTATTATTCCCTTTATAATTAATAAATATCTTGTGGGAAATACACTGGAACATTCTCAAAGAGGTGTGGCCATGGAGGGCCTGTGATTGATGCTGCCTTTCCCTTTGTTTTCAGAGTCGAACAGCCGCAGGGCGGTGAATCGAGGCTACGTCACCAGCTTGCTCAGGCTGCACCAGGACTGGCACGGCCACGACACAGCCAACACCTACGTGCACGTCCGACGGGGCTTACTGCTCTGCCTCAGGCACATTGCTGCCCTCCAGTCTGGCAGGGAGGCCTTCCTGGCAGCACAGGGCATGGAGATCCTCTTCAGCACCACACAGGCAAGCAGCATGGGGATTCACTCTGCAGCTGAATGACAGCTGGATGATTCCTAAAGGTTGTCATTTAAGAATCATCCCAGACAGAGCTGGGAACACCTGTCTATTTCTGGTTGCCTACTATGGGCGGATGCTCTGGATTTAAATCTTCATTCCAGGTCAGGTGCAGTGGCTCACCCTTGTAATCCAGCACTTTGGGAGGCTGAGGTGGGTGATCACCTGAGGTCAGGAGTTGGAGACCAGCCTGGCTAACATGGTGAAACCCCGTCTCTACTAAAAATACAAAAATTAGCCAGGCATGGTGGTGCGTGCCTGTAATCCCAGCTACTCAGGAGGGTGGGGCAGGAGAATTGCTTGAACCCAGGAGGGGGAGGTTGCAGTGATCTGAGATCACGCCACTGCACTCTAGCCTAGATGACAGAGTGAGACCCCATCTCAAAACAATAACAACAACAAAAAAGTCTTCACTCCATTGATTCATTCATATATACTTAGTATGTTATTTGTTGAGCACACACTACCAGAGGTGCAGTATAGCATAGTGGCTGAAAGTGTTGACTCTAAAACTAGAGTATTGCATTCAAATCCCAGCCCTAGGGCCTAGAGCTGTGAAACTTTGAAGAAGTCACCCAACTTCTCTAGGCCTACCTTGGGGGTTGTTTTTGTGAAAAAAAAAAAAAAAAAAAGGCTGGGCGCGGTGGCTCACGCCTGTAATCCCAGCACTTTGGGAGGCCGAGGTGGGTGGATCACGAGGTCAAGAGATCGAGAGCATCCTGGTCAACATGGTGAAACCCCGTCTCTACTAAAAATACAAAAAATTAGTTGGGCATGGTGGCGCGTGCCTGTAATCCCAGCTACTCAGGAGGCTGAGGCAGGAGAATTGCCTGAACCCAGGAGGCGGAGGTTGCGGTGAGCCGAGATCGCGCCATTGCACTCCAGCCTGGGTAACAAGAGCGAAACTCCGTCTCAAAAAAAAAAGCAGAAATAAGAAAACCTAGGTTGTTGTGTGGACTAAATGAGTTACTGTAGAAACGGGATGTGCTTACAAGAGTGCTTGCCATGACCGAACTGCTTTTGAGGGTGAGCCTTTATTGGAATAATTAGCAGTGGGAGCTAGTGGTGGATATGACAGACGACGTCCTTGATCCTATGGGGAAAACCTCCCAGCACAAGAGTCAGACACTAAGTAAGCAAAGAATCCAATGAGGAAGATCATGTCATGTTGCTCTGTGAAATGAACGAAGTAAGGCAGTGACTGCCCTAGGTAGAGGGAGCAGGTGTTCTTTTAGAGACCTCAAGTCATCTTTGAGAATGTGACACCTGAGCTGAGGGCAGACTTATTGGAGGAGCTGGTCGTGCTGGTCAGGCCAAGTTGCAGGGTAAGAGCATCCCAGTGAAAGGGGATGGTGCCTTCAAAGGCTTCTACTTACCAGCACCCCATGGGAATATGTATTCTAGGGATTCACGGATTTCAACCTCAATAAATTCCTTAGTTTCACTTGATTAGGGCTAATTTAAATACCATAGTTTGAGGCTACACATGAAGTTTTCCAAATATCCATCATCTGCTCACCCGCCTTCTCCTGGGGCCAAGGCAGCCATGCTACACAGGCATTACGTTCCTGTTGTCCCTGGATTGGGCCACCTCTGGACTCCCTCTGTGAGTCTCCGTGCTCCCCTCTGGACACCCTCCAGATTTTCTCTACCTGAGTACATGTGAGGTAATGAAGCTGCCAACAAGAGTGTTGTTTTCCAACCAGGGCATCTGTAGACATTTCTCATTCAAAAATGGCCCCTTTCCCCCTAAACAATAACAAAATACTGTGCTGCAAACCAGTATCTAATTTCCTATCTGCTAACACCTCCAGGTTTCTTTCCATCGTTACAGCTTTCAAAACTTTTCAGTCATTCAGTAGCTGTATTTTACATTCCCTTTCTCAGGACGAAGCAGGGCTCTGAGTTTTCCCAGGCTTCCCCATGCTTTGTAAGCCTGTGGTTCCCCAAGCCTCGAATCCCTCCCAGTCCTTGTGCAAAGCCCTCCTGCACTGCTGATGTTGAACAGACCCCCACTCCAGTCCGGTGATGAACCAAATTCCTCTGCCCTCCGAGCCGTTGGCTATTTCTCTCTTCTGTGCTAAAAAACCAGCCAAACAAAACACAAGCAAACAAACAAAATCAAGAAAAACAAGAGTAATAAAGGAAGCAGATGGTCATCACAGAGGTACATGTCTGCGATGGAAAGAAGGTGGAGAAAACACCAAATGAAGCCAGCGTGAGGGGTGTGAGCCTGAATGCAGGTCTTTAAAACAGCACGTAGCAGTCAATGAAGACTTCAGTTGCTCAATTAAGCACATTAACAAGAAACTTCCAGCCTTTAATTACTGCTGGGAATGGAAGCAGAATGTGCGTAGACGCAGAATCTGTACTTTGTAGTGAGGTTTCTGTAGCTCATATTATAATCTCTCTTGGTATGACACGGAGAAGTAGCTCAGGAGAGGCCTGTGGACGGTGCTGAGTAAATAGGACGTGACACACTAAGGCTGTCACCTGGAAGAGTGTGTAGAATGTGTGGATGTCAACCTCAAGGGGTTGAATTCCTCACCACCACCACTCCCTTTGCTTTTAGTCTTTTTAAAATAGTGTGCTCTTGGCTGGGCATGGTGGCTCATGCCTATAATGCCAGCACATTGGGAGGCAGAGGGGGGCAGATTACCTGAGGTCAGGAGTTTGAGACCAACCCGGCCAACATGGCAAAACGCTGTCTCTACTAAAAATACAAAAATTAGCCAGGCGTGGTGGCAGGCGCCTGTAATTCCAGCAACTCGGGAGGCTGAGACAGAAGAATTGCTTGAACTCAAGAGGCAGAGGTTGCAGTGAGCTGAAATTGTACCATTACACTAGCCTGGGTGACAGAGTGAGACTCTGTGTCAGACAAAAGCAAAAAAAAAAAAAAGGGTGCTCTTCCAGAGGAAATGTTATCAAGTTTACGTGCAAAGTCTGATGTTTGACGTTCTCCTGTTTTTTGGAACATGACCCTTGCAGGTGAACGACAGGCTGTCCTGACTTAGAAACCAAATGGCTCATTATTCTTCCCTGGCGGCCATAACCAGTGTTGAGTAGCCTGCCAGACCTGAGCTGAATGCTGTGAGCACAGATGCCTTTGCAGGTGTGCTGGGGTTTGAGCTGCCCGTCACCCCTCCTCTCCCTTCTGCTGGAGAAGGCAGGGGAGTCACTGGATGGCCAACTCAGGGGCTTGGATTTGGTGATATTTCAGTTGCCATTTGCAAATTCTGCTGCTGCTGCCACTGCTGATGCCAGTGACGATGATGACAATGTTAATGGAGCAGCAGCAGGAGGAGGAGAAGGAAGAGAAGAAGAGAAGAAGACAGGTCCTTTGAACTCTTACTATTAATATATCCCTTCACTGTCTTAGCAATTTATGCAGACTTTCCAATATTGACATTTTAAAAAGCTTTTGAGATAGGCTCTATGATTTTCTTTATTTTTACAGATGAAGAAACTGAGGCACATAACTGTTGAGTCATTCTCCCAAGTCCACAAAGCTCGCAAATGCTGGAGGCAGGACTGGAATCTGGTCGCCTCACTTGAGAGCCCCAAGTTGAGCATACATCAGAGTTACCTGCACGGCTCACTAAAGCACAGCCTGGTGGACCACATTCTCAGTTTCTGATTCAGCAGGGCTCTGGTGGAGCCTGAGAATGTGCTTTGCTGACAACTTCCTAAGTGATGCTGATGCTACTGGTTCAGGATCACACTTGGAAAAACACTGTCCTAATTTGTATTTATTTAGAGATGGAGTTTCGCTATTCTTGACCAGGCTGGAGCGCAATGACTTGATTTCAGCTTACTGCAACCTCCGCCTCCTGAGTTCAAGCCATTCTCCTGTCTCAGCCTCCTGAGTAGCTGGGATTACAGGTGCCCACCACGACGCCCAGCTATTTTTTTGTATTTTTAGTAGAGACGGGGTTTCACCATGTTGGCCAGGCTGGTCTTGAACTCCTGACCTCAGGTGATCCGCTTGCCTTGGCCTCCCAAAGTGCTGGGATTACAGGCATGAGCCACTGCACCCGGCCCCTATATTCTTGTTATTGGTGTTTATGATGTGCTTACAAACCTACTGAGGATGGGACTGACTGTAAAGGAACTATTTTAGTTCCCCCACACCTTTGCCATCATAGTATTGTTAATTGCCTTTCTACTGAGGCCACTGCTTGTCTGTGTCCCTTTTGGTGACCCTACCTCTTTGTTTCCTATGTCTCACATGTCTTCACAGATTCTGTAAACATCCCCTAAAAGTTCAAAGGCTGAGATCACACAGTGCAGCAAGGGTGTTGTGTAATGTAATATAATCTTATTGGAGCTTTGCATGAGGAAAGACGAAGAAGGATGACCATTTGAGTGCAAGGTTAAAAATAAAAGAACTCCTACAAGGATGCCTGAAACAGTTGGAGATAGTTATCTATTTGGAGAAATAGGTAATTGCAGAAGGAACAAACCTATATAAGATAATCAGAGAAAAGAACCACTCTTTGGAGCTACAATAGCTTGAGGGGCCTGAAAGGTGTTTTTTTTTTTTTTTTTTTTTAGACAGAGTTTCGCTCTTGTTACCCAGGCTGGAGTGCAATGGCGCGATCTCGGCTCACCGCAACCTCCGCCTCCTGGGTTCAGGCAATTCTCCTGCCTCAGCCTCCTGAGTAGCTGGGATTACAGGCACGCGCCACCATGCCCAGCTAATTTTTTGTATTTTTAGTAGAGACGGGGTTTCACCATGTTGACCAGGATGGTCTCGATCTCTTGACCTCGTGATCCACCCACCTCGGCCTCCCAAAGTGCTGGGATTACAGGCTTGAGCCACCGTGCCCAGCCTGGTGTTTTTCAAACTTGAGTATGCATCACTTACCTAGAGGAATTGTTACAGATTGCTAGATCCTACCCCAGAGTTTCTAATTCCATTGATCTGAGTCGAGGCTCAAGATTCTGCATTTCTAACAAGTTCTCAGGTGATGCCGATGCTACTGGTCTGGATAACTCACTTTGAGAACCACTAGAATAAGACATGATACGGCCTTTTAAAATCCGCAGTTGCCACCATTTGCTCAGAAAGCGCAGCAGGCCTAGCCTTGATTCATCAGGCTCCTCTCTGGCCGACAAGACCAATGACCTCAGCCTTATGAACCTATGGAAGGAGGGACTGAATCCTAAAGGGAATGTTACCAGCTTGGGTCAGGAGCTAGATACCCTGAAGGTCAGATTGGCGTGAGGTCATTTGCTACTTATTCAGTAAATGTTTTCTGAGCTCTTCTTTGTGAAAGGTGTTGGGGCTGGGTTTTACAGGGGTTCAGAGATGAAGGTGTTGTCAGCCTCAGGAAACTTAGCGTCGTGTGTGGAAAAACAGGAACTGGATAATACAGCATAGGCAGCAGGTGAGGGTAATGGCAGACATGGTGTAAGCATGCAGGGGAAGCCTTACTTGATTTTGCTGACCAGAGAAGGCTCCATGAAGGCAGCCACATCTGAATGAGCCTAGGAGAGCATCTTGAAAACTCTAAGAGAAACACTTGGTTTGTGAACTGTTCAGGGAAGCAGAAGGAGGTGGCCGTGAGGTATAGATGGAAGAGAAGCCGGGAACAGCGTGTGGGACAACGCGGACTTTTTGGAGGGTCAGGCAGAAGGAAAGATCTCAGTGATAATCCAGAAGAGATTGAACCATCTCCATTCAAGATATTTTTATATTGAAGCTGCACCACATCTGCTCTCAGCCTTAGAATTTCTCATGTATATTCAAAGAATCACTGGAAAGAGAAGGGAGAGGGGGGTTATGCCAGGCAGGGGTCCAAGAGCTGCTGTGTCACCTGAGACCTGAATGATAAAAAGAACCAGTGCTGTGGGGATCTGGAGATGAGGGTTCCAGGGAGAGAAAAAGAAAGTACATGCACAGACCCTCAGGTGGGGGAGCAGGGTGGGAGGCGGGTGAGCTTGAGAAACAGACATGGTAGACCATTGTGAGTGCAGGGGAAGGCGTGAGATCGAGTTGGAGTCATGGGCAGTGCCAGGGCATTTAGAGCTCCTGGAATCATGATGAGGAGTTCGAATTTTATTTCCACCAACTTTTTTGTTTGTTTGTTTGTTTTGTTTTGAGACAGACTCTTGCTCCGTTACCCAGGCTGGAGTGCAGTAGTGCAATCTTGGCTCAATGCAGCCACTGCCTCCCGGGTTCAAGCAATTCTCCTGCCTCCCGGGTTCAAGCAATTCTCCTGCCTCAGCCTCCCGAGTAGCTGGAGTTATAGGCATGCACCACCATGCCTGGCTAATTTTTGTGTTTTTGGTGAAGACTGATTTCACCGTGCTGGCTAGGCTGGCCTCTAACTCCTGACCTCATGACCCACCTGCCTTGGCCTCCCAAAGTGCTGGGATTACAGGCATGAGGCACCTCACCTGGCCTCCATCAATTTGTGAGCAGGCACAAAGAGGGCAGAAGACAAGAATTAAAGAGACAGGGCCAGATCACGTAGAACTTCCTAGGGCATAAAAATAAATTAGAATTTTATTTCTATCAAGCAGGAGACTGACCTGATACAATTTATGCTTTTCATTTTTTTTTATTTTTGAAAAATTTTAAGTTAATTGTAGTAAAATACCTGCAACAAAATTCACCATCGTGACCATTTGAAGTGTACAGTTTGGTAGGGTTAAGCAGTGTTGTACAACCGTCACTATGACTCATCCATCTCCAGAACTCTTTTTATCTTGAAAAATGGAAACTCTATACCCATTAAACTGATTCATGCTTTTAAAGGTCCATTCTGGCTGCCATTTGGAAAAGATGATCAGAGGGCACAAGGCGAAGGAAAGATGGTAGGGGGAGGACTTAGAGTGTTTACAGGAGGTTAGGCAGGAGATGTTGATGGCTTTGGCTACAGAGAAGCAGAGCTGGAATTTGAACCCTGAACTTCATGTTCTTAGTCAAAGTCCTTTTCCACTAAAATGCCTTGCTTTGTTATCATGGCAGTCATTACTAGGACTCTCCTCTGACTAGCTGTTACTCCTAGCATCTGCTTGCAGACTCTTAGGAGACTTTATGAAACTAAGGAGGCCTTCTTTCTTCCCGCTAGCTAATTCTAAGTGCTTACTGTCAGGCGCTTTGCCTACCTTAATGCATTTAATTTGCACACAACATTATGAGTGAGGTTGTGTTACTATCTCCACTTTGCAGATGAAGAAGACATCGTGGCACAGAGGAGGCTATTAATTTGCCAGGGTTATGAAGTTAGCAATCTTCAGTCCAGGATTAAAACTCACATAGTCTGGCTCCAGGACCTGAGCAGTTTGCTCTTACTTTATCCTGCCCATATATCACGCAAGTGGGGTAATTATTATTCCAAAGCTAATTCAAAGATATTAACTGTGACGGAAGCATTGAATGTTTTAAGCATTGTCATATTTCATCATCCCTTCCAAGTAGCAGATGTGTTATTGAGAGTGATGGGAAAAGGGGGCCTAAAATCTCACCTTTGCTCCAATTCTGAGACATTGGTTCTTAAGGATCCTGTTTCCTGGAGTCTTGTCTTTTTCTGACATATAGCACAAGTACCAACTCTGCACTTCTAGGAGCCTGAAAGCAAATGCTTCCTGGGCACCCCTCCCTTGCCTCACTTCGTCTCGGCCCTGCACACACCTATCCATTGAGGGAAATGTTGACAAGTGAATTCAATAATTTCTGTTACTTTGAAACTAACAATCTCTGCATTCATAAGTATTTCCCCTATAGTGCAGCAGACAGCAAATACAGCATGATTCCTAATGCCTTGGGTTTTATAGATTTTAATACTTCCTCAGCCTCCAAAATCAGTTCATGGTATGGCCCCGTTTTTCAGAACATTTGAACTTGACCTCATGCTTTCACTTACTTTTCACTTGTACCATTCCACCAAAGAAAAAGACACGATTACCTTTTCTCATCAAAGTCCATCACAGACATACCTGGGTTCCAAAGTGTTGGCATTTTTGACTGAGTTCCCTGGCTTGGGCTGGCTCTATCTCCACCAAGGTTGGAGCTTAGAACAATATCTCTGACAAGCCATCTCCTTCACCCTCTTGCGTCCTCCTTCAGTCTCTGTTTCATTGTTTTCCCATTATGAAACTCCTGAGATCGTTTGACCAGATCAAGGGGTGAAACAGCTTCAACTGTTCATTAGCCTCCATAATGAATTAGCCAAAACGAATTCATTTTCCCCTAAGAGTGTTTCTGGCTGTGCCTTCTGAGGCTGTTGATTCAGGACACCTGATTGGTGTGACTGGTGCACATTGAAGAAGAGAGAACAGTCTTGATTGCATTAAGACATTTCATTTTGAAAGTTGGCTTACTCAAGGCTGGGCACGGTGGCTCATGCCTGTAATCTCAGCACCCTGGGAGGCAGAGGTGGGTGGACCTCCTGAGGTCAGGAGTTCGAGATCAGTCTGACCAACACGGTGAAACCCTGTCTCTACTAAAAATACAAAAATTAGCTGTGTATGGTGGTGGGTGCCTGTAACCCCAGCTACTCAGGAGGCTGAGGCAGGAGAATTGCTTGAACCTGGGAGTTGGAGGTCGTAGTGAGCCGAGATCGTGCCACTGCATTCCAACCTGGGTGGCTGAGCAAGACTCTGACTCAAAAAAAGGAAAAAAAAAAAAAAAAAAAACAAAAAGAAAAGAAAAGAAAAGAAAAAAGTTGGCTTACTTATGTTTTGCAGTCATTTTTGTTATTTTTTCCCTCCATCTTCTTTCACGTGGAAGTATCTGTAACGTTGAGTCTAGAGATGTCACAGTTTGGCAGCTCCAGACATCCTTGCCCGGAGGTGGGTCCTTAGCATCCACCGTCTCCACTTCTGTGACTTATTGGCCTCAGAGCTTGCTGCACTTTTTGGTAATAGCAAACTGGGGCCCCCACTAGTCACCTTCCTGTACCAAGTCAGTAGACAAAACATTTACAGAGATAGTGAAGAAAATGGTTGTGTTTTTGCCAAAGAGAAACTGAACTATAGTCAACTCTGTCTCTCAATTTAGTGAACTTGTTCTTACATTTTTCACAGTGTCTGAGAAGAAGGGTCTTGTCATGTTCTATCAGTATCAAAATGTTACATCTGCAAACCCAATTTTTCTCTGATTTGGGAAGGTACCAAGAGGGATCCACACTGTGGGCTTTGAGAAGAGGCATGTAATTTAATTTAGCTACTTGGGATTCACTTAGTCTTTTCTTCTGATTTCATGTTTTATGTTTTTTTAAAAAATATTTTTCTCCTCAGAAGACAGCTGAAAGAGAAAAGCAAGACTTCTATCAATTCAGCTGTTCATTCCCTAACATAGGCAATAATTCACAGTGACACATGGGTGGCTGAGAAAGACCGACCTTCTCTTCCCCCAGCTATCCTGAGCAATGTCTTGCCTTAGGCGCAGCATCCTTTGAAAGAATTTTAAGTCTATATTCAGACCGTATTCATTGCAATGGTGTATGAAATGTGCAAGAGACAGAAAAGTGCGGATTCCACGTTAGACAAAATTCTGTGTTAGAATGTTCAAATTTGACATTCTACGTTAAGGCTGTTTACGGTCTGTCCATGTAGGCTGTGTGTAATTCATTAGCTGAAATACAGCTAGGAGACTGTTATTAGCTGCGTTACAGCTAGGGGACTGTGTCCAGATGTCGACGTCTGATATAATCTTCCCTTTGCTCAGAACTGCCTGGGCGACAAGAGCATGGAGCCCGTCATTTCTGTGGTGCTTCAGATCCTGAGGCAGTGCTACCCTAAGAGTCCTCTACCCTTGGTCACAGCCAGCAGTGCCTATGCCTTCCCAGTCCCCGGGAGCATTGTGTCTGAACCTCCACATGATCTACTTGAAGGTAAAATAAGTGGGTTTAACTGTGACCTTTAAGATGAATTTTTGCATTTTGACAATGTTTCCCAGGAACGTGGATGAAAACAGAATTAGTTGTTTTATAGGTCCCCCATAATTGTCCATTAAGTTAGTTAGAGCCATAGATGAAAAAGCAGTTTGTATTTTTGTAAATAGGGTGAGAAAATACCAAGCTCACTTGTTTTGTTCTTCATTATTAACTGTTTGTGCTTTGCCTGGTAGCTATCAAATGCTGTATAGTCATCTCAGCTAATTAAAAAAAAAAAAAGTCTATTCAGAATCCCATGATTGAATCTCTGAAGCATACTGACTGATGGTGGAATTAATTTGCCCTAAGGATGAAATATAAATAAAATTCTTGTTATTTACAACTCCAGGCTAGTCATATTGGAATATTTGAAAGTATTATTATTTAATCTCTAGGAAGATCTTCCTGTCAAAAGATCCTAGTATGAACAGGTTTTCTATAGGCATAATTTTACCACAGTGGTACAAAATGCCTTCTATAACGTCCTTCATCAAAAAATTAGGGGCCCAATCAAGGTAATATTTAAGTTATAACGCATTTTGTAGGTACGTGATCTCTAACTTTGGCTGTGCTCTTTGCATAACGCCTCTAACTTTCGTGGGATGATTCAGAGTGATATTCATGTGTCGTTTTATTCTGCAGTTATTTTGCATTCAACGTAGGATAACTGCTTAGACTTTATAACTTAGTGCCCTGACTTGCCCATGTGCACACCATTTATACCTACCAATAAGTATTCCCATGTGTTGGGATTTTGTGTTATTAATATTGCACCCCTTATTTGAGAGAGGAAGAAGGAGCAAGAACCACTGTGTGATGAACATCTAGATCCTAAATCCCAGGCAAAGGGGCAACCTCACTCACTTCACCTCTTTTTCCCCTTCCAGAGGATTTTGAAGATGATGGTGAGGAGGAGGTGGACAAAGACTCTGATTCTGAAGATGGAAAAGTGGAAGTATGTACACCAGCCCGTGCTTCTAACGATGTCCATATTCACATCATGCACAGAAAAATATCACTTCCTATGTTTGCCCAAGCCCAGTGTAAATTTTAAGAACTTACTTTAGTACTGCCACTCCAGTGGTAGCGACGCTCAATAAATGACAGCTACTGTTATTGATTTTCAAGTTGTCATTTTCATCTTGGTAGGTCTGGTACAATGTCTTGTAAAGTCAGAGGCTATCCTGTCCTTTATTAAGACACTGATATTCCATTCATATGAGCTTTAGATACACACTTAACACCTGGAGTTGGTGTATTTAATAAGACCATTTAAAGACCCTAGAAAGATTTTCCAGGATGCTTTCTAGTAGATCTCGTCTGTCTTCATAAGTCACTCTTATCCTTTCTGCATAGGGTTGTTGCTTGTACAGTTCCACTGACATCAGAGTCTGTGAATTGTTTTCCCATAAGTTGCACAGTGCACAACCTGGCCAGCAGAGAAGTGCTACTCTTTGGGCTCCCTCCCAAAAAGGCCTATCCTATAGAACAGAGGTTGGTGAACTTCTTATTAAAAAATCCAGTAGTAGCCAGGTGCGGTGGCTCATGCCTGTAATCCCAGCACTTTGGGAGGCCGGGGCAGGCAGATCACGAGGTGAGGAGGTCAAGATCATCCTGGCTAACACAGTGAACCCTCCCTACTAAAAATACAAAAAAATTAGCCAGGCGTGGTGGCACACGCCTGTAGTCCCAGCTACTCAGGAGGCTGAGGCAGGAGAATCACTTGATCCCGGCAGGTGAAGAGGTTGCAGTGAGCAGAGATCACGCCACTGCACTCCTGCCTGGGCAACAGAGTGAGACTCTGTCTCAAAAAAAAAAAAAAAAGTCCAATAGTAGTTGTTTTAGGCTTTGTAGAACACACAGTCTTTGTCACAACTGTTCAGCTTTGTTGTAGCACAAAACAGTTATAGACAATTCGTAAATAAATGGGCATGGCTGTGTTCTAAGCAATCTTTATGTACAGAAATAAGCAGTGAGACATAGTTTATGGACTGTTTTTCTACAGCAAGGTTTCTAGACCTTGGCACTCTTGGCATTTAGACTGGACGCTTCTCGGTTGTGGGAGGCTGCCCTGTGCATCGTATGATGTTTGGAGGCACCGCTGACCTCTACCCACTGGACATTAGTAATGCCTACCTCGTTTCCCCCCAGGCATGAGCCAAAAGTATCTCTAAGACTTGCCAGAATTACCCCTCGTTGAGGACTACTGCTCTAGTATAAGACTTTGTCTATGAATTATAATTCTGTTTCCATTTCTGTTGGTGGACATGGACTTTGACAAATTCCTTTAAGTTGCAGTTTCTTAATTTCATCATCTGTAAAATAAGACTCAGTAAATTAAAGTCAATGCTGCCTTTTATGACATTTCCTGGGGATGAAACTCAAATTTAAAAAATCAGTTTTCTCCCCTCCTTTCCTTTCTCTCCTTCTTTCCTATCTGTCTAGAAAGAAAGAGGCTTTTGAGTTTTCTATCATGACATTCACTGACCTTGCTGATGGTAGCAGCAGCAGACACGGACTACCTCTTAGCTACATCTGTAGGCTTAGACTGCTATTGACAGTCTGGTGTTCTTTGGGTTTTGTTGATAAATAGAATCATTTCTGAAGTCATCGGTAGCAAATTGGTTCTTTGCTGTGGCTTGGTGGTGCAGGCTTGTGGAGTATGTGCGGAATTATTTGAATAACACTGTGCTGCTGCAGTCATTCATCAATGCCACTTCCCCTCCCCTCTTGCTTGCTCTTTGATAGCTGAATGTCTGATGCCGAGTGTCACTCGCCCCATGTATCTGATGGGAAGGGACCGGGTGCATGACAGTGCCTGATGTCCCACAGCATGGGAGGGAAGGCATTCAGATACTTTCCCATGCTCTACAGAGGATGAAGGGGTAGGGTAGAGAGAAAACTAAACAGGCAAATAAACTCAACTGGGAAAGAAGCACAAGACAAATTGGTAAGAGCTTGAAAACTGTTCATCAAAAGGCTTCAAGCCAAGGCAAGCAGGTGAGAAGTCAGTGTGAGCATGAGTTGTAGAAATGGAGAGGAACATGAGAGTCAGGGCTTGATTTGGAGGCACAGCAAGAGCAAGGAAACTGGTGCTTCAGAAAACTGGGTTTTCCCCAGGGAACCCAGCAGCATTTACTGCCAGAGGTGTGAACCAGAAGTCAGGCATATTTTATTTCTGGTCACAGAGCTGATCTGGGCCTTAAACCTGTGGCCTTCCCATTTGACAATCTTAGGTAATAATTGAGACCAGCCTCTTAAAAAGAACGATTAAGAGGATCTTTTATCTGTAAAGGGTCATTGGAGTGGAAAGTAGGGTGGTGTGCTTTGATTGAAAATTGCCAAGGTCAACGTATTAGATGTGGGCTCTGTTCACATACACAAGCATGAGACTCAGACAAACTCTGAAGAAGAGAATGATAAACAGAGTGAATTCAAGCTCTCCCTTCCTTCTTCCTTCCTTTCTTTTTAATTTTTTTATTCCTTTCAGGCACTTTCTTGGGTATGATCCATATGCAACATGCTGAATTCTTGGGTATATTAACGCGAAACGCAAACAGATAAGACGACGTAGTTTTTATCTTCAAAGAGTTCACATCTAGTGAACTTGGAGTTTGTCCCTATTAAGTGTTAAAATCACCACCTTCAGTGGAGTGGTGAGCTCAAATCTAAGGCAGCCAAAAGACAATGTCTAAAAGGTCCATCCTATGGAACAAGAGCCAGAAAGCATTACCTGGATTAGGTAGGTACCAGGATTCCAGTTGGTAAAGGACTGCCTGGGATGCTGTGATGACACAGAAGCAAGTCCATCTCCAGATTAGTATAAATGCCATTTATAAGAAATACAAAAGGAAGCTGCAACCTGGCTGAGACTAAGCTCCAGAACTTTGAAGGTCAGAAATAGTCTCTGTCACAATGATTAAACTTTGCTGTTGCACTGAGAAAACAGCCATGACCAAATGAATGAATGGGTGTGGCTCTGTTCCAATAAAACTTTATTGACAAAAACAACCAGTGGGCCATAGTTCATTAATCCCTGCTCTAAGGCTAAGTGGGTCGCCTAGTCACATGTGGAATGAATTAGATTGCAGCTCATGGGTTGCATGACTCTTTTCTGCTCGGATGCACTGGTTGGAGCACAACCTTACTGGTGGGGACATTCTTCCCAGTGGCCTTTCAGATTGTGTTTCCATTAGTGCCACCCTGTGCCATGGCTGAGTTTGCAGTGGAGGGAGTGAAGACAAGCAGAAACTGATAGATAAAGCTGGAAAGGACAAGAATGGTGGTCATGGATTCGATCATGGTGTGTACTATACCTGAAATATTATTAAGTGAAGCACATGGGAATTACTTTTCTTTTAATTTGAAGTTTGGGGAAAAATTGTGAGACATAGATGGACTATTGCATTTCTCTCCCTTGGATCAGGAATACAAACATCTATTTTCCACGTTTATTGAATTTAACCTTTCAGGACTGCCAGGTTTTTCCTTAGCTAGTGAAATATACTTGTAAAACACATGGCATGGGCTTTTCCCCTCTCTTTCATTAAGGAAACTTGACCTAGGATGTAGAAAGATGAAGAGACTGGGCTGGTTGATTCCTGGTGTCTTTTCTCTGTGAGACCCTACAACCCTTGGTATTCAGAGGAGAGTCACCATCATCATTAAATTGTTTTGAAATGATGATCTATCGAGAATAAAAAATAAAGTGCCTGGGATTGTTCAATCCAATAAGCAAAAGACTGGAGGTGCCTTGGTAAACTTTTAAATATGCAAAGGGATAAAGGTGCAGTTGGAGAATACCAGCTCCTCCCCAGATCTCATGAGGATCGATATAATTTCTCTCCTACCTATTTTTCAAATCTCATCTTCTGCCATCTTCCTCTTAATCTGTATGCATCAGCCACCTTCTTTCTGAAAGCAAATTCCAGCTTTTCCTTCTGCTAGTAATTCACTTCTAGGCCTGCACATCCTTGGCTTTTTTTGTCATGTAGGTTTCCGTTGAAACATTACCTCCTTGTGAGTCCTCCTCAGGTCTCCGAATCTGAACAGGCTCTCGTTCCTCAGTCTTAGTCATATCACTCTGTTTCATCATTTCAAGGGCAGTTATCCCTGTTGAAAATTAACTTATTCATTTGTTTACTTTGTTCTTTACTGTTTTTCTTTTCTCACTAAAAGGCAAATTCCATGGAAGCATGGACGTTTGTCTGTTCTGTTATGACTGAAACTTCAATACCTAGAAGCGTACTTGCTCACAGTAGGTACTGATGAAATGTTTGTGAAAAGACTGACAAACGTAAATGACAAAGATAGATAAAGAGTGACAGTAATTACAATGAAGTTGATGATAGCGGTGTTGAAATAAGGAATTTATTCCATCATGTGTTTTATTGATTATCTAGTTTATATGATTTGATACAAATTTTTACTTCTGATGAAGGCTGATAAATACTGACATACATGCTGAGACAAGTTGTTTATCTTCTTTTTATTTTAAAAGTACAATCCGGCATAACAAATTCTTCACTGGTTAAGCTAGTGCTGTAATTTAGAGGCTAGAAAACCACGTCCAAAGATTCTGAAGAAGCACATACGTATCTTGTCTTGATGCTTCTCAGGGTGGATTTCCTGATTGTAACCTCTTCTATGAATATTCCTTTGTAGGATGATGACTTGGAAACAGATGTGGACAAGCTGAGTTCCAAACCTGGTCTGGACCGGCCTGAAGAGGAGCTGATGCAGTATGAGGCGATGTGTCCTGAGCTCTCCTGCAGCTCTGAGGTAGGACCCGTGCTGTGGTTCTGATCTTTGATGATGTATGATGGGTTCTTTGCAGATCCTGGGAGGCCAAACCAGGGTGTCCGGATGGAAAGCATTGCTCATCATTAGCTATATCCTTCTGGGCTCTTCCTTAGAGAAAAGCAAAATGCTAAACAAAATTGGGAAAAGGTGGCAAAAATGGGAAAAAGGATGTATGCAAGGGCTCTTCAATCTGACACTCACGCTTAGGATGGATACTCAGTCATGTGCTGCATAGCGACGTTTACGTCGATGATCGACAGCATACACCACGGTGGTCCCATAAGATTATAAGACTGTATTTTCACTACATTTTTTTATGTTTAGACAGACAAATATCATTGTGTTACTATTGCCTACAGTGTTCAGTATGCTAACATGCTGTACAGGCTGGTGGCCTAGGAGCAGTAGCCTACACCATATAGTCTAAGTATGCAATAGGGTATACCATCTAAATTTGTGTAAGCGCACCCTGCCCCCATGCAATGAAAAACAAATAAAAATTCATGATGATTTCATTGTTCTCATGCCAAAGTGGGGAAATTGTCCTAGATGGCTTTTTGGAAGTGGACATCCTGATTTCAGACTTTCTTTGTCAGTTAGAAACAAATTGAGAACCTTAGACCTGGTGATGGTAATTCTGTGTCTAGTTGCTGCCATGAATATTTTAGACTTGCTTTTTGATCTCCATTATTTTCTTATGGCTCTTAGAAATAAATCATGAATTTGGCTGCATCTAAGGGTATAAGCTAAGTCACGTGTACAGAAGGGAGTTAATATATTCTATTTGACTTCAGAAAGCAGGCAGCGATCAGTAAAAACAGTTTTAGGAAAGGAAATTTCAGTGTAGTATAAATATTTTTTTCAAATAAGCTGAATTATCCTCAAGTGACAGGCACTGCCTTGGGGTACAGTGAGGCCCCCATAAATAATGGTTTTCCAACCAGATTATAATTTAGTGGGAATCCTGAAGAAGACATTCAAATACCATTGGACTAGACCCACCAAAAGCCCCTTCCAAACATAGTGAGTTTCTTTGATTCTGTTATTTATTTGACTCTTGAAGGTTAGTCTTTCTTAGTCGACCTTGGAAAAAGCTTCCAAATTCACAGGATTTATGCTTAGCTCTGTGCCCAGAGAGTAAGGACAGGGATCAAATTGTGCTCCCTATCTGGAAGGTCACACTAACACATCCTATTCCATTTTGAACCTGAAGGAACTGGAGTCCAAACCTAGAGATGATTTGAACCCTGAAAAGACTGAGTTTGCCAATCACCACCACATTCCGACGGCTGCCTCCTCAAAGCAGCATTGCTTCAACAAGGACCAAAGTTCCTGTGGGCAAGAAAGAGAAGATGCTGTCCGGTCACCTCTTCTGTGTATGGTGAAGGCGGGAAGGTCCACTGCGCTTCTGGGATCCAAAGGAAAGCCTGTAGTGAACCCGTACCAAAATGTGCAATCCAATCATCTCGGGAGAGATTCTTCTGAAAGTGAAATCTCTGACATTCAGCATTCCCTGAAAGCGGATGCCTGGGAGGTAGATGCAGTTTTCTGCCAAAGGATGGATGCCTCCTTCTCCAATTCCAGTAGGACTGCAGAAACTGTCCAAGTAATAGATAAGCTTCTGCAGACACAGCCGAAGCGTGTCCCTTTCCACGATCCCTATCTTTATATGGCCAAAGCCAGAAGAACCAGCTCTGTGGTGGACTTCAAGATGATGGCATTTCCTGATCTCTGGGGACACTGTCCCCCTCCTGCCACCCAGCCCATGTTGGAACGCAAATGTGGAGTCCAAAGGTGATGGTGCTACTGACTTGGGAACTCTATTTTTTCTGTTCTTTGATGATTTGATAAGTGGAATGGTTTGTACAGATAATTCTACTATCTATAGAAAAGTGAGCATTATTAATCAGGAACATGTTAAAGCCTGTTGGGAAACTTTGGCCAAACACCCAAATTTTCTTCCCTGCAAGGACATTTCAGAATCAAATGTGGGGTAGTGGTAGGCATGCATTTTCTGATGAAAACTTCCTTGAATACATCTAATACAACTCCTTATCCTATTTACCTTGCAAACCACTGTCACAAAGAAAGATCATGCAGTTTCTCCAAATACTGGGCTCCTTCCTCAAAAGTAGGTTTTCAGAAAAACCAAGAGCTGATTATTTGGGACCTTTTTTCTTGTTTACCGCAAATTGGTATGAGATCTCTTGCTAATGGAAAGAAGGTGGTGTGCCTCCATTCCACAGCCCCAGCTTTGATAGACCCTGGCTTGGTTTGGAGCATAGTTTTGCTGCTTCACAGAGGAGGGGATGGAAAAGACTTTCTCCCGGGAAGAAACACTGGATGACAGATTATTCCCAGAAGGCAGGAAAGGAAGCTTTACCTATGACTCAGCATATTGAGAATAAAATGAAAACTGCTAAAGGCAAAGGAAATATTATTTTCCTTGAAAAAAAATGTATACACATACCAAGTCAATGGAGCAAAGTGGGCAGACCAGAAAGAAATTATTCTCTTGATAGGAGGGAGACCCCCAGACTGTTCCCACTTGGGGTCCTGACTGACATCTCCCACCCTACCCCCTGCACTTTATCCGACATGCTCATGCTTTTGAGAAACTGACCACAAGGGCCGTTGTAGCGCCATCTCACCCCTGCATAGAACATCTTCCCTCTAAGCCCAGACCTCATGCCTGACTTTTCCCAGCCTTCTCTCATGCCTCTCCTATGGACTGGGTTGGAAATTCAGATGGTAATCTGAAAGACCTCCTAAGCTTTCTTTCCCTCTCTTAGTTAAATATCACAGATTTTGGTGTTTCTCAGACAGAAGAATGACCTCAGCCTGTTGGATCAGGCAGAGCCCAAGGAACATAAATTGCCCAAGAGTATGAGGCTTATTGGAGCCTCCCAAACCTTGAAGATGCTAGCAGCTAATAACCCTAATGTCTTCCTTCAAACTTCCCCAGTGCAGACTACCCTCTCATTCTCACAGCTAGCAAAGTTCCAAAGTCCCCTAACTCAAGTGCCTTTGATACAATGCTTTAAGCCAAGAATTCTCACATTACTACCGATGCAGTGATAACCAAAATCTAACATTGCTAATTCCTACATTCCTGCTTCTCAGTGCAGTTTTATTTTTTGATGAAGGAAGAGAAAGAAGGAGGGCAGGGCTATTTGCACTCTCTGAGCTCAAGATTGAGGCATTATTAAACTTCTCTGTGCCTTCATATTTCTCCAATGACTCCCAGAGTTCTTCCCAGGTGATTATAGGAGGAGTGAGCTAAGGAGGGAAGGCAGACCCTTAAAATGTTTTCAATTTTCTTTTTCAGGATCAGGATATTTGAGGATATTCGGAGGCTCATCCAGCCAAGTGATGTTATAAATAAAGTTGTCTTCAGTTTAGATGAGCCTTGGTAGGTAGTCTTGTGCATCTGAGGAATGCGGGACATGGAGAATTCTGTTAATGGCCTGAGAATAGACATGTTTCCTGTTAGTAATCCACTCTTGCTCCTAAACACAGCATGATGGAAATTCAGGTTAAAGATCTGTAAGAGAGGCTGGGCGTGGTGGCTCACGCCTGTAATCCCAGCACTTCGGGAGGCCGAGGCGGGTGGATCATGAGGTAAGGAGATTGAGACCATCCTGGCCAACGTGGTTGAAATCCCATCTCTACTAAAATACAAAAAAATTAGCTGGCTGTGGTGGTGTGTGCCTGTAGTCCCAGCTACTCGGGAGGCTGAGGCAGGGGAATCGCTTGAACCCGCGCGGTGGAGGATGCCGTGAGCTGAGGTCATGCCCCTGCACTACATCCTGAGCAACAGAGTAAGACTCTGTCTCAAAAGAAAAAAAGAAAAAAAAGATCTTAAAAAACGATGAGTTCATGTCCTTTGTAGGGACATGGATGAACCTGGAAACCATCATTGTCAGCAAACTGACACAAGAACAGAAAATCAAACACCGCATGTTCTCACTCATAGGCAGGTGTTGAACAATGAGAACACATGGACACAGGGAGGGGTCTCTCTGGGGGAAATAGGGGAGGGACAGCAGGGGGTGGGGAGTTGGGGAGAGATAGCATGGGGAGAAATGGCAGATATAGGTGATGGGGAGGAAGGCAGCAAATCACACTGCCATATGTGTACCTATGCAACAATCTTGCATGTTCTTCACATGTACCCCAAAACCAAAAATGCAAAAAAAAAAAATCTATAAGAGAAAGCTTATCTTTAAGAATCATCACCCTGTTTTCAAGAGTAGCTATAACACATATGTTCACATGTTCTTTATTTCATTATAGGCCTTTGCAAGATAGTGCTTCCAATTGCTTAAAGTTCTTCTCCAAATTTGAATCAGGAAACCTTCGCAAAGCCATCCACGTGCGTGAGTAAGTAAGGAAAATCACAGGGGGTATCTCTTCGCAGTTCATGAAAGCATGTTGTCACTGTCTCTTCCCCACGCTCTGTTCAGTGACTAGTGACCTCACATTGGTAGCTTGAAATCAGCCATGGTGGGAATATTTATATCATAAAAATTGGCAAATGGTACAAGTGAAGGTTTTCGTCACAGAGAGTCATTTGTGAAACATTCACCAGTACACCACTAGGGAACTCACGGGTATCATAGCTGAGTGAGCCATTCAGTAGAGGTGAACTGTTATTAATGTGTCTTATGTTTCAAGTAATGGGTCCATAGTTGGGTTTGAGAGCACTTTGATGCCAAGGCTGATTCTGTTGACGTGGAAGGGCACATGGGCTTGCTATTCCTGAACTTCGCCACGCCTGTTGCTCTCATTCCTTAGGTGGCAAATCATGAGATTCCCAGAGAGAGGTGAACCATCCTGCCTTCAAGGGAAGATGCAGTACCGTGCTCTCTAGCAGAACCTACAGATGGGCTCTCAGTAGAGACGGATATCATAGCCAAGGAAAGTCTAGGGCTGTACAAACTAAAAGGAAGGAAATAAAACACAAATGAGTTTTAATTCTTTTTCAGTTTCAGAAGAGACTTCTGTTTTCACTATGTTAAAATTCTTTCTATTATAGCAGTGTGGATATATTTCCCATATACCAAAAGACAACATATATGATTCAACTTCTATGGGTGAACTTCTGAAAAAACAGTCCAGAACAGATAATGGTGTGGTGGCCATAGACGGACACCAGGGCCACTTCACCACCTTCCAACCAGGAGACTGAGCAAGTTTCCTAACTCACTCCATGCCTTTATTTCCTCACTCACAAAATGAGGACGATAATTGCACCTACTTCTTAGGGATTTCATGAGAGCTAAATAATACGCTTAAAACTCTTATAGTAGTACCTGACACACGGTCAGCACTAAAAAACCATGAGTTCGTGTCCTTTGTAGGGACACGGATGAACCTGGAAACCATCATTCTCAGCAAACTGACACAAGAACAGAAAATCAAACAGCACATGTTCTCACCCATAGGCGGGTGATGCATCTTCACCATGGTTGGAGCTCAGAACTCAGTGTAGCTGGGACCTCCTTTATATCCACCTGAGGATTCATTTTTGAAGGTTTTCCTTTTTGGGGGAGGTGAAGGGTGATCCTTTTTTTTGTATATAAAATATCTGAAGGAAGCCCAACATACAGAGACAAGTTTACCGAATCAGGCTAAACACGAGAAAGACAATCATGTCAAGATTCATTCTCAGCCTTCTCTGGGTTGTCGGCTTAGCTTCCACTTCTTCTTGCAGCTCCTATTTTGACTCTTCCTTCTCTCCAGGTATCATTTTCAAAGGATCCAGGAGAGGAGACCTGATTATGAGTCTCCTGGTGGGACAGTTATCAGATCAGGATGTGCCCAAGCTGCTGGGCCCGCTCAGGTCTTTTTCTCTATACATTTCCCTTGGACCAGAGTGTAAAATCCTAAATTCATCAGCTATGATCAGGGTAATAGAGAAATGACAGTAAACAAAGCTAATCATGGGTAAGGAATTTTTGTGATTACTTTTTGGAGAGAGCACTGTGGGAGTAGCAGACAATTTGAGGATCATAGCCTTTCCAAGTAGCTCTTGTGAGTGCCACTTCGGGGGTTATGCTTCATGTATTGGATGGTGGTTCAGTGGTTAGAGTGTGGTGCTCACAGAGACAGTGTGAGGGCTGGACTTCATCAGATAGCTCTGCTCTGCAGCTGTCTCATACCATGCTATAGTCTTTCATAAATCTCACTACACAAAGCCATTCACTAGGGGTCCCACGTGGGAGAATATGAATGCATTGGGGCAAAAACATTATCCTTTTCAGAAGAGCAACTCAAAGAGAATACCAAGAGAATGGAACAACATTTTTAAAAATAAAATATCCTGATAATGTTTAAGTCAAAAGTACATTGCTAGTTCTGTTGTTAGAGATCAGAAAAATAATAACCTTCGGAGATATAGCGATGAGGGGATGATCCCTGAGGTCCTCTTGGGGTGCCGGAAATTTCCTATATCTGTGTAGTAGTCATGCAAGCGGTTTCAGATGTAAATAAATTCATTGAGCTGTATATGCAAAATGTGTGTATTTTATAGCATAGGAGTTACATCACAATGAACATGAAGCAACCCCTGCATTACTCGTCTAATTCATGTTTGTTGTTTTGCTGGGGGATTTATATTTACTAGTTATTTGAGTTTTATAAATAGCACCAAAAGTTTAGACACTTCCGTTTTCCAGATGTGGAAATTGAGGCTCGAAAGTAATGCTGATCATCAAATAGCAATGGTGTATCCAAACCGGATGAGGTTGAATTTTCTCTGGTATAAAGCACACTTGCATTTTTTCTAGCTAGATAAAAACTTCATTATAGTTCAATACAAATATATGCTAATATTTTCAAATAATAAAAAGACTGGAATTGGAATGTTATTAACACAAAAGAAGTGTTAAATAGGTGATAGATATTTCAATTACCCTGATTTGATCATTACGTATTGTATTATTGTGTCAAAATATCACATGTACCCCATAAATAAGTACAACTATTGTGTATCCATAATTTTTTTAAAAAATTTAAAAATATACACTACTGTGTAATTGACTCTTCTAATACAAAGAAGCCCCCTCACCTCCACAAATTTCCAAAACCTGTACCCAATATTGTGATATCAGGATGATAAGTGTAAGTCACCAGCTAGCTGAGATCCTGGGGGTTAGATCTATATAGCTCAGAACCTGAAGCATGTAGCTTCTCAGTGTCTCAAGGTTACCTCAAAGTCTTTCCGGACAACCCTCCAGCCTTGCTTCTGATCTGCAGGTTCGAGTATGACCTGTTGGTCAATGCGGATGTGAACAGCACCCAGCACCAGCAGTGGTTCTACTTCCGGGTGAGCGGTATGCAGGCGGCCATCCCTTACCGCTTCAACATCATCAACTGCGAGAAGCCCAACAGCCAGTTTAATTATGGTATGAACTCTTGGGGAGCAGGGGCTTTCCCCAGCATGCCAGGAATGAAATCATTTCTTGACTGTTTGGATTCAAAAAGCCTTGCATGGGTTCAGAGGGTTTGAATTTGGGTGGAATTTTGGGTTCCCAGGTGTGGCAGGCAGGCAGTTGCCCTCAGCGGCACACTACTATTTTAGGGGGGAGGCTGGGCGTCCTCACTCTGCACATGTAATATCCTCTGCTTCCGGATTCCTTTGCTGTACCTTGAATTTTTTGAGGTTGGTGAGTCCTATCATTTATTCCTCCTCTCCATCTCCTAAGTCCCATAGGAGCAATTATTTTGACCTGCTTGTTACAAGATAGGAGAACAATAAAATCCAATTGGACGACACTGATTTACATTCTCAGAAATCTCTTGAAGAAGTTTAAATTCTCCCGAATACCCGTTGCCATTTTGGAGGAGATATTAAAGAGAGAAAGGCGACTAGCAGCCTGCATTTATTTCGAATATTTCGAGGAATGGAAATTCTGCATACATCATATGCTAATTTACTGGGTGGCTTTGAATGAGGAATAAGTATTCCCAGGTGTCTAGGTCCAAGCTCAGGATACTGCCTGTACTTTGTGGTGAGTGAACAGATTCTTGTGGGTATGAGAAGAGAAAATATGAATCTTGACATTTATATTCGCTTTGTATGGCGGTTGTAACAAATTGTCACAGACTTGGGGGTTTAAAACAAGACCAATTTGTTCTCTTACAGTTCTGGAGTTCAGAGGTCCAAAATCATTTTCTCTGGGCTGAAGTCAAGGTGTTGGCAGAACCATGTTTCCTCTGGAGATTCCAGGGGAAAGTCCATTTCCTTTCCTTTTCCAGCTTCTAGAATCACATTCCCTACATTCCTTGGCTTATGGCCCCTTCTTTCATCCTCAAAGCTAGTAGTGTTGCATCTTCAAATCTCTCTCTGCTTCAGTCACATCGCATCTCTTCTATAGTGAAACCTCCCTCTGCCTCCCTCTCATAAGGACATTTGTGTCCTTATGAACCTCCCTCTCATAATCACACCATCTCAAGAACCTTAACTTAATCGCATCTGCAAAATCCCCTTGGCCATATACAGCTAACTGTCATAACTTCCAGGGGTGAAGACCCACGTATCTTTGAGGGTCCCTATTTGGCCCAGAACAACTCTCTTTTCCTCATGGATTAATTCCTTTTCTGATTTTGTGTAGGGATGCAGCCTACCCTGTATTCCGTGAAGGAGGCTCTTCTTGGCAGACCCACCTGGATACGGACAGGCTATGAAATATGTTATTACGAGTAAGTTAGAGTGCTGTTAGCTTCCTTTTCTCTGTCCTGTAATTTTCTCTCAATTTCCTATTTTTCCATGTGGATCTTATAAACATCAGCAATCTGTGCTTGTCTGCTAAACTTGTTGTCACTCTGTCCCAATGTCCAGTGCCCTGACCTTCAGAGGTATAGGCATATCCACTGGTACCCACAGTAGACCTCAAGAAATACCTTTGGATTTGCTGAAAGATAGTGTATCTTCATGTAACCACATTAAGCTCTTAGATCTTGTTGTTAGGTATTAGCAGTCATAGAGAGTCTACCTGTGATTAGTGTGTCAAGCCTTACCTGTGTGCGCTGAACCCAGAGAGCGAAATGTCTGAGGTGTTGTATTTTGTTCCTGTCTACACTGTCCTTTAGTTTTCCAAAGTACAAGAGGGTGCCAAATACATGCAAGTCACTCCTCCCCACAGCAAGGTGATTTTGTGAAAAAAAAAAAAAAAAATAAATAAAATAAAAATAAAAAAAGGGAGGAGTTTCAAAATTCATCTTCAATCCTTGATCGGTTGCCAGTGTCATCCATTTATCCTGCAAAGTTATGATGAACTTTAAACTCTCCATAGATTTTGATGAAAGAAATGCATTCTAGATGTCTAGATTGCTTATGTGTACATTTTCTTCAGATGAAAAATACGATTCAAATTTAAAAGAAAATAAGGATAGGAATTACTATGAGACGTAGAATATATATAATTAATTATTAGTTCAGTGCTAGTTTCTTATAAAAACTGGGGGAGTAGTGCTTGCTTTTTTAAATAGAGTAAGTTTCATCTCTTTCTGAAGTTACTAGAGGTCTCTAAGAAAAAAGTATGATCAGACATTTTAGAGTTTAGGGCAGTTGTCACTATTGAAAAGAAACAGAATATACCCTTATGCCTCTTGGCTTTTGAGGCTTTGAGGATAGGAGTATTGATGGATGGGAAAGGTCAAGAATCTTGTTGCTGTATCAGATACAAAGGCAAAAATCGCCATAGAGATAATGACAGTCTGCAGGACACAGAGCCAGGCTGACTAGCAGTCTATAATAAAAGAGTTGGAACTATTCAATCCCTGATCTATTAGGATATGAATCTGAAGAGTATTTTTTTACATCCTTTAGAAAAATTGCAACATATTATGACTTTGTTGGTTTTCCATTCACCTAAATGGCAACTGCTCTCCGGCTCACCTATCTGAAGACTCTCAGGACCTTTCTTACGGTTCAGAGAGATTTAGATTAAAAATCACCTCAAGGTGATAGCCTGCAACTGCAAGAAAAAAATATGAAAACCTACGTTTGGACCTTGGTGTGTCAAGAATGACTTTTAGTGTTCTCTGAAAATAGTTATTCTCAGGAAATGTGGAAGATCCAGCTTAAAGGTGGCTTGGACCTGAAAGTTAGTAAGAGATTGGACAAACATAACATTTTACATTATTTCCTAATGGGATGCATAGATGTCTTATTGGAGGATGCTCCTCTTGGAACTATGGAATAAGAAGGCTCAGGGGACCCACATATTTCTCAAAAGAAGCAAGAAGCACACTTTCAAAAGCTCAGCTTTGACCTAAGGAGAACCAATGCTGACAGCTTTTAGATCTATTAACAAGACAATTATTATGTGATTAAAGAGCAACAGAGGGGTAAGAAAAAAACCATGAATGTATAATGTAATTCATTTTTCATACTCCAGCCATGAATACAACAGAGATGAATGGATAAGACTGCTACATTGTAATGTGGTTTGTTTTATAATTATGCACCATGTCGTGTTAACATATTTCCAATAATGTGATGTAACAACAGGATAGATCTGTGTCATCTCTATTCAGCCACAAATTAGAACACATCTCTCAATTATAAAATGATGCCTTAGATTATACAATATCTCTCTCCCTATTTACCTATCCTGATCTTTGAGTTGATTTGCTTTAGAAGAGTTCTTTGCTTCTCTCCTGCCTGTATTAGCTCTTGTTGTTAATTTGGGAGAACCTCACTTTCCTATTGCCTTGTCTCTAATATATCTTAAGAAACGATGCTCTATTTCTATAATGCTGTTAAAGTCCCACATATGGTGCCATGTTTTAAGAGGATGCCAGGGTGCTCCTTGTGGGGAGAACTGTGAGCTGAGGTACCTGAGTATGGGTATGGAAGGGTGAAAGGAAAAAGAACATTCAGAAGAAATGGGGTTTGCATTTGCGTTTTCTCTCAGAAGTTGAACTTGACAACAATGATGAGCGGTGAAGGATGTGGGCTGACTACTCTGTGGGGCCAGTCGTCATCAGATGCAAAGTCTCCAAACTATGTTGATAATGTGTCAGTAATCCAGATATGTGTGTATGTGTTCTTACTAGATAAGTTTATGCATTTTTAAAAAGTGTATATGCATGACTATACTAATGTATTACGCACGTAAGAAAACATACAAAAATGAGTTTTAAAATAGGAGAAAAAGATGAAACAAATAATGGTTTGTGTCTACCTAATGGTTACATCTTTATGCTATTTATAGCTCCGGGCACACTAGAATTTTGCCATGGAGTTTACCATTAGGTATAGCTATAAATGGTCTTTTTGGTAATTTTGAGAAATTTTGATTAACTTTCTAGATCTGATTAGATTATTTTAACAAAAATCAGAAATACCCCAAAAGACCTAAAATATTGGGGTAGCCATGTCCATGCTGCCATTTTCTGGTCATTTTGATTGCAATTTAATGTTACCATCTACAGATGACTTCTAAGCAGATTTTCTTTTAAAAAGTAATTGTCTATTTTGTGAGGTTTAGTTTAATTTAGAATATAATCTGTAAATCAGAGTAAGCTTCTAGAAACTTAAATACCTTGCCAGAAGCTAAAAGAAAAAGAAAAAGAAAGGGAGCTAGCTGTTCCCATTTCTTCCCCTGGAGACCTCTCCCGTGCAACCATCGATACTTAACTAACATATGAAAACCGTAGATGCAGAATTTAATGTGTTTTTCATACTCCAGCCCTGCAATACAACAGTGATGAGTGGATAGATTGCTGTACCTTCATCTTCTGTTTTATAATTACCCATCACATTAGGTTGACATCGAGACAGCCATGCCAATCCCCATATTAAACAGTAGACAACTTAATTTCTTTGTTACTATCTAGATAATAGTCATTTTAAGGAGAAATTCTGATATTTTCTGCCTGTGGTCAGTTGATCATTCTGCCCCAGCCCCAGAACACCTCTACCCCTTCTATTCCACACCCTGCTCTTCCCCACCTTGAAGACCAGCAGGCTGGAAAATAAAAAATGCCTCTCGAGAAGGAGGAATAGTAATGGGCAGATTCATTTTTCCCTGCCTCTCATAAAAGGAAGCCAGGACCCTTTTAGTTTATCTTTTATTTAGTTCCCTGTGGTCTGCTCCTTCCTCTAATGTACACAGCCTCACACCTTTTTGAATTCTCTCCCAGCTCTGGTCTAAAGTAATTTTGGTGCTGAAGGGCAGAGGGAGGGAAGCTGCACGCTTAGAGTGGCCATGTAATACACAACGGCTGATCTCTTCTGACATTTATCTCCGCTCGTGAGAGGAGATGGAACAGCTCACTCATGAAGATGAATGTCATACAGGAGCTCTGCCATCACACATCCTTCCGCGGGATCTCAGGAGAGAGATTTGGTGTTATATGGAATATTAGAAACGTTGCAGACACAGGGAAGCCTGGCAGCTTGGCTGCTCTGCCTTATTAGATCCTGTTAAGTGAAATGATGCACCTTGTTAAACTGAGCCATTGTCATGATAAGATTATCTAATCCATTCTCCATCATGGCATTTGCTTATGTTATGCACCCACTGGAAAAAAAATGACTTTCCAGCATATTTTTAAGTACAAATGAAAATAGCCCGAGTTCATAACTATGCCTTTGTGTACTTCGTTCCTTGCTTCATTGAAGTCTTTATGATGATAAAAGTGCAGATTCTTCCAAAGATAAATGGTTCAGGGAATAGAAGAGCAAACAAAAATCATTTTAGCTGTGAAGTTGCTGGATGTTCCCAGCCCAGGTCATCTTTGACCCCAGATGACCAATAGGATCCAGCTAATCGTCAAGAGCACACCTGATTTTCACCAGGCTGCTTCTCCACCTAGATGAACAGATTGGAGAGAGGAAGTTCTTTGACTCAAACTTCCACCATTTATGAATGGTGTGACCTTGGGCAAATTCGACCAATTTCTTTAACCTCAGATGCTTCATCTTAAAATGGGGTAATAATGGTATCTACATAATAGAAGCGTTTTGAAGATAAAATGATGAGATAAAACACATGTAAAGATTAGCACAGTGCTCACTTCGGCAGCACATATACTAAAAAATTGGAATGATACAGAGAAGATTAGCATGGCCCCTGCGCAAGGATGACACACAAATTCGTGAAGTGTTCCATTGGAAAAAAAAAAAAAAGATTAGAACAGTGTCTGGTGCACAGTAGGTGTTCAATGAATGCTATCAATTATTTTTAATAATGAGTAAAAACATCTTAATTGTATCAAATACCAATGATAAAAAATCATAGTATATGGATCATTTATCATTTCTCATCTGAATTATTTTACACTTTTTTTCTGTTATTTTAAACTCTAAGTTCATCGAGAGCTCTGATTTATGAAGATTAAAACTTCAGATTCTTACTTGCTACGTTGGGCATAAGACATCTTGTCCTTTTTTATCCATTCCTAAGAAGCAGGTGATATATATATAAAAAAAAAAAATCTTAGTTTCTGAGCTAAGCCTGTAACTGGGGTTGAATCCTGTTTACTGTATTTGTGTGGAATTCCCGTAGACACTTAACCTCTGTGAGCCTTAATTTCCATCTGTAAAATGTGTATAATAATTAATACTCACCTTGAAAGGATGCCATTAAGATTGGAAATAAAATGCATTGAGCATCCTAATTATTACTCCTGGAGTCTTAGGTCCACTTATTGTATAAATTTTAACTGCATAGCTGCTATGTCCAGGCAATGTGGGAAGCATGAGGATAAATGAATAAGCAGGTCCCTGCCATAAACTATTGGCCATGAGAGGACGAGTGATAAGGCAACTATCAGGGAAGGCTTCCTGAAAGAGGAAACACTTGAGTTGAATCTTGAAGGATTAAGACTTCGCTAAATAAGAAAGATGGAAAGGGCTTTCCATACAAAGCAAGTACATGGGAACAGCTTAACATGGGAAGGATGAACATTGCTGTCTTGCAAACATCGCTTGATATGTCCACATCATAACTGGGAAACGAAAAGAACTTGTTGATGGGATCTCACTTTATCATGGGTGAATTGAATTGTAGCAAGCCAGGTGTTTCACTTTAGAGATTTGTCAAACATTTGGCTTTGAAGAAGGTGATCTTGGGAAAGTTTAAAGGCCTCTGCAGAGGAAGGTGTGCTGGAAGTGGAGTCATCTCCTGGACAAGTCCTGCTATAATGTGGCTGCCAGGAGACTCCAGTGGGGATGCCTGACATTTGTTTTAGGTTCAGCCAGAGTTTAGACCCCAGACCAGGATTCTAACTAAATTTCCTTTAGCTGAAAGTCATTCTAAATAAGGTGACATTCAGGTTTTTTTTTTTTTTTTTTGGAATTCCAGCTGTGTGCAACCATCCTGGAGAAGGTTGACTTGTTGGTAGGGAGCTATTAGTCTTGCTCAGGAGAATTTAACATCACCATGTACAGGGGTAGCATGTTAGGTGAGAGAGAGAGAGAGAGAGAGAGAGAGAGAGAGAGAGAGAGAGTGTGTGTGTGTGTGTGTGTGTGTGTGTGTGTATGTTGGGGATGAGAAGGCAGATTTGACATAGTCAAAACTACCATTTGAATTCCTTACACATCCCTTAAATCTTGAGTCCATGGAAGCTCAAGGGCTAGGGGTTAGCCCATTTTATTTCTCTTTCCATTTCGCTGCAGCTGCTCTTTCCTTGGAGTGCAGGTGTGGTCTGAATGAGGGTAAGAACGTAGAGATAAATACATGGATCTTATTTTTTCTCTCTCTTTCTTGCTCTCTCCTGTTGTTGAATGTGATGAGGTTGAGTTTGCATAGGCTAAATGTGCTTGTGATGTGACTTTAGTGTATTAAATAGTGCAGTGGGGAACCTGAAAAGAAGGAAGGCCCATGCCGAATAAGACCACCCCTACTGGCCCTCAGGGATACCTATTATTCTTGAGTCAAGCTGCAGGCTCTGTCTCCACTGTTTGTAGGTGAAGAACTGGGGACAGTGAGGCACAAGGTGCCTGTTTCCGTCAGCCTTTACATTGATGAATATGTGCATATGTGTGTGTGCACTCACACATATATGCTTACAAGTGAGGCACTCTTCCATGCTTTGATTGGTTATTCCTGGCTCATTTTATTTCAATTGCTGTTTCCTGTAAAGAGGAGTAATTGACTAGCATTTTTTGTTCAGCAAGATGTAAACTGAGTGTATATTTACACGGAGCCTTTACAAGGGAAATCAGAAAGCAAAAATGAGGTAGAGCATATGTAACTTGCATGCTTTCTGAGCCACCATCTGCTTCTTTACATATTTTCTAATAACCAGAGTCATAGCTTTTGGAGAAACTTCAGAACTTTGGGGCAATCTGGAACAGTAGACCCAATTGGGCGTTGAGATTCACATCACACCATGTGGGAAGACACCCTTTTGAAATTTCTATTTCTGTAGGCACAAAGGAAACGGATTCTATGAATACAATGCCAAAAACCTGGGTGTGACGGCCACTTGGGGCTTACGTTGTTACGGGGTGCGCCCCTTTCCCTAGCGTGACCAAGATTCCAGGTTGCCGTGTTGACAGAAGCCGAGACAAGATAAAGGCAGCAGGCCATAATCAGTGCGTTACCAGCTTCCCTTAGCCCTGGTCCTTGTTGTATAAATTTTGAAAAGCCACAAAAGTGTGAGAAATAAAATAGTAGATTTCCTGTCTCTTTCTTCCATGCTTGCTTTTTGCTTAGGCTGGGAGTGGTGTGAAGGTAGCAAAAAGGCAGAAACCCATGTTTACCATGTGATAACCCATGTTTTTTATATTTCTCAAGAACACACAAGAATAATCACCTACTATTTCTTCCCTTCCCCTTCCCTTTCCCCCAATAAAACCAAAAGCACAACGGACTAGTAAGCCAGCGTTGTAAATGTTCAAAGGTGGAATTACATCTCTTGGTGTCCGGGGGTATTTTGCATTATAATGCAGCCTTGATGGTAACATTTCTCAGGAAAGCCTGCGCAGCTGTCTCAGCATCAGCTGGCAGCGTGTGGGGAAAATATTGCTCGGAATGGACTTTTGGGTGCAATTTTCTTTGATACGGTTCTCTGAAGTATCAAAATTGGTTCTTCATCTTTGATAAAGGAAAATGTGCACTCTCAAGCCTTAAGAAGCTGAGCCACATTTGAGGTGACAAATATATTCCTTTGGGAAGAAAGTATTGTACAGTAGAAAGAACAAAGCCTTTACAGCCAGAGAGACCTGGGTCTCAGTCCGGTATCTACCATTTAGCCTGGAGCCCTTTGGCAAATTAATTTTTTTAAGCTTTTGTTTCATCATCCTCCTGATAGGTTGCTGCGATAATAACATAAGATGACGTATGTCAAATGTTGATTTGGACCTCGATATATCATATGATTGCTCATAAATCTACTTGGCAGATGGAGGGGAAAGGAAGGAGGTGTACCCTATGTGGTCTGGGGAGAGACAGGGATCAGGGGAACCCAAATTTGGGTAATGAGGTTTTATGTCTGCAACGAAAACCCAGGAAAAACAGAACTGTTCACATTTTCCTCGATTTTCTAGCTCAATGACTGTATAGCCCTCATTTTCAGACAGAGCAAGGAAAGGCCTGTCACATATATGGCAGAATTGAGAGGCAGACAGGCCAGGCTCCACGTTGCTGAACTGACTCATGACCTGGCAGTCAATTCACTTGTACATTTCCCTTTTCTCAACCTCACCCACAGACATGTTTCAAGTGAAGGCCGTTGTGTGCATACAGTACATAGCACATGAAATTTACAGCACCTAGGACCCTAAGTGAGCCCGTACCGACTCCCACCTCTCCTTGATTTTCTTCTCTTTCCCTCTCTCTTTAGAAACCACTATCGCCAGAGTAGAGCTGCTGCAGGTGGAGCATCTGGAAAGTGCTACTACACCCTCACCTTTGCTGTCAGCTTCCCACACGATGAGGATGTCTGCTACCTGGCCTACCACTACCCCTATACCTACACAGCCCTCATGGTAACTGCCTGCTTACAGCGTCGCTCCAGCAGGACTGGAGGGGCTCTCCGAGGTTTTCCTGAGAACATTTAGGAGACCCTGACATCCTAATCGGGGGTGTAGAGGGGTGTAGGGAAACTATAGCCTTCCTAAGGGAGCCAGGCTGTGTTGTCACTGACTTGGTGGCTTACTATGTGTCCCATCTTCTTCCCTGGACAGAGCGCAAGGCTGGGCCTTGATCAGTGACATTCTGAAGGCCCGAGTGGTCTGCAAGCTGGGGCAGGACATGGGGACATTTCTTAAGAGACTATCTTTAAAAAGTCAAGCTAAGTATGAAGTAGGTTGGAGGTGTATGGGGAGTAAGACCATACAAGTAAGCCGAGATGCAAATCTGAAGAAAATTCAATGGTTCAGAGCAGGGGAGAAGGCAAGAAGGTAGAACTTGGGAAACTTAGGGGTCTGCATGCAAGCAGCCACGCCAGCATCTCCAGTGCTTCCGATGGCCGTGAGCTGGAGGCCGCTGGAAGGATCCAGGGTGGAAGAGAAAAGTTTGGCAATAAAACACTAGATCCTTGCAACAGAGAACCACAATCTTTTTTTATGAGGGAGTGCAGCAGAAGTCAGTGAGGGCTCACAGTTAGCGTTTCTGTCTTCCATAAGGCCCTGCAAAAAGTTCGCAAGACAATCGTGAGCAAATGGACTGCTTAAACCATGCAGTTTTCTGTCATTTGAAAAAGCTGGCAAACTATCCCTTACCACTAGCCATTTCATGGATATCCTGAGGATAAACGAGCTCCAGTATCTTCTATAAAGCACTTTCATCTTCAGTGTTCATGTAAAATGTTATTAGCATATTTATAATCATATGTGTGTATAGGAGTATCTATGTCACTTCGCCTGAAGGATGTGCGTTTTCATTTTAAGGCTGTGATAAGGAGTTGGAAAAGATAATAACCAAGGACATCTTTTCCTTCAAAAGGAATGTGCAGGTATAAATGGAAATTTTTCTCATAGAGAAGGCATATCTTGAACCACTTGGCTCACCGCTTCGTGAAAGTGCATCTGTCCTCTTCTCCGTCTGCTGTCTTGCCTAAAGAGAGATTTTTACTGTTTTCCAGATTGCAAAAGAGACACAACTAGTATTATTTGTGTATCACACTCAGAGAGCTCAAGAAGTTAATCCAAGTAATGTGCTTCACAAGCTAGGCTGTAACAAGCCACATTTGTTATAAAACATGTTTTGTTGCCTTTAGGGACACAGAACAGGCAAGATTCATGATTCCCTTCAACAGCTGTTTTTACGGTCTTGCCTGTGAAACACTGCACATGAAAAGCCTACTGTGGGCTGGGCACAGTGGCTCACTCCTGTAATCTTAGCACTTTGGGAGGGCAACGTGAGAGGATTGCTTGAGCCCAGAGTTCAAGACCAGTCTGGGCAGCATGGTGAAACCCCATCGATACAAAAAATACAAAAATTAGCCAGGCCTGGTGGTGTGTGGCTGTAGACCCAACTAGTTAGAAGGCTGAGATGGAGGATCACTTTAGCTCAGGAGGTTGAGGCTGCAGTGAGCCAGGATCGCACAACTGCATTCCCTCTTGGGCAACAGAGTGATACTCACAAAAACAAGACAAAAAAACAGAAAAGAAAAAAAAAAGTCAGGCCAGGCGCGGTGGCTCATGCCTGTAATCCCAGCACTTTGGGAGGCCGAGGAGGGCGGATCACAAGGTCAAGAGATCGAGACCATTCTTGCCATGATGAAACCCCGTCTCTACTAAAAATACAAAAATTAGCTGGGTGTGGTGGCACGCGCCTGTAGTCCCAGCTACTCGGGAGGCTGAGGCGGAAGAATCACTTGAACCCAGGAGGCAGAGGTTGCAGTGAGCCGAGATTGTGCCACTGTACTCCAGCCTGGTGACAGAGCAAGATTTTTTATAAAAAAAAAAAAAAAAGTCTACTAGGGAAGGGGATTCATTTTTAAATGTGTTTTGTGTCTGCCTTTCCCGTTGGGTAAAGGATCATGGATCTAGGACACTGTTCTTTTCACTTTTTAGAATATCTTGGACTCTGATAAGGTTCCTGATCTCTGATAAGGTTCCTGGTGGGCATTCGTCTAAAGCATTAGAATTCAAAGGGATTGGGGAAGTTGTCTAATTCACCCTTAACGTTTAAAGATGCAAAAACTGAGGCCAGAAGTCCCACCGTTAGCTAGCAGCCATCCAGGAACCGGATGTCGGCCTTTGAGGTCTATTCCGGTGGTCTTTCTACTTCACTGTAGAGAAGTGTAGAAGAAATTCAGAATTTCTGCTCTGGGGTCAGATCAGTGTCCTTGCTGGCTATGGCACTCATAAGCTACTAAAACATGCAATCCTGTTTTATGAGTACGTGTAGTCATCATTGTGTGATGATGCAGACATCTCTAATGGTTGAATTCAAATCTCCAACCCACAGTTTATATCTTTAATTCTGAGTGCGGTGGATGTAGTTCAGCTGAGGGATACTGTCTCTTTCCAAACATGGTCTAATTCTTACCCCAAGAGTCTCTGATGGATTCTTGCTAGGTGCCTACAGGCTGATTCAAATTGTGTAACCCTTTCAACCCAGCCTTGACTTGATGACACTTGGTTGTTTATCTCCTGCCTCTGGGCCTGGTTACCTTCTGGACACAGATTCAGATCAGAGCACAGGGTCTAAAGTTTGCAGTTGATAAATAACTCTAAGAGCCACCCAGTGTGGGTGGGGAGGGGGTCAATGAGGAGATGATTTCATCTTAAAAGGAAACAAAAACACGAAAAAGAGGACCCCTCTCTCCACCAGTCACGTAGTTTCACTGAGAGGGAAAGAGAGTCTTGTTAATTAATGCTTATTGGCTTGTTACTGTTAACATTAATAACTATTACTTTTCCTATTAATTACAATAAGCTATAACTGCTTATGACTTTTATTGTTAGTTGTAGCCTATTGACTATGAATGTCTTCCACCAGGGAAGTTTCTAGAGAGTTAATGAGAAAGTGGGAAAACTTATTTCTCCTAAATGAGCAAAACAGGGTTAGAAAGATAATTTGTGACTTGAAAGTGACAAATGTGTATTCTCAGTTTAAGGTTTTACGTTTCCAATAACTCATGGTCTTTGTCCTCTCTAGGCTTAAGACAATAATTGACTCTGTGACTTCTCTTAAAAAAACTCTTCCTCCCATCATGGACAGAAGGAGCACATTCTGTAATGCACACTAGTCATTTTTATTTTTGGACATGTCCTGAGGAGAAACAGTTTTTCTTCCAACAGATCAGTGATAAATTAAATGTGAATGATACCCCAAGGGCAGAATTAACTGTATGTTTGGGGGTCATGGTGAGGGGTAGAAAATACGTTTCCATGTGGAATTCATAATTTGCAAGTCTCTTATAATATGGATTACATTTAATAATTACAGACATTTTTATAGCGAAACACTTGTATGTTGGATGTTTTTCAACATGAATACACTTTAGAAACTTTCAAGATTGTATTATTCTCTTATAATAAGGGAATTAGTATTTGGTTCTTTCAAGTGGATATCTTCCAGATGCTTGCCAGCAAGTCTATTGGTAGTTGTTCATATTATAGTGTTAACATACAGCTAAAAGAAAGAAATACGCTATTGTAATTCTGAAGCATACAAAAAGAGCTCTATTTTAATCAGCTGTATCAAGTTATCTGTAATTGTAATGATTGTTAAAGTGTTAGCAATACTCGTTAAAGTATTAGAATTATGTTATAAATAGCCCCTAGGTAGCCAGTAGTATTGGTTGAAAATGGGACCCCAAGAGAGTTTCTGATGAATATTTTAGGAGGTAAAAAAATTGAAATCTCACTGAGAACTTATAACTGCATGAATTGACAAGACACACACACACAAAAAGTGGTCATGAATAGGGTCCAGGTATTGGGAGAGCTTGAGGATCTTAAAGAATAAGAGCAGAATTTTTACCAGACACATATACCCACTGTGTAAGATATGAATACTGTTATCTCCAGAGATGGTGGTGGCGGGGGGGGGAGTGTAAGAGAGAGAGACACGGAGAAAAGAAAGAAAGAAATGAATTAGAATGCCCCATGCACAAAATCTTATAAATGACTCAATAAATGAGTTTAAGAAGTGTCAAGTGGAAAATGTTGACACGTATATGCAGCAGATCAAAGACGCAATGAGCAGGTCATAAATCAACACTGTCATGTAATCCATAGACAGAGATCCATCCTTGTATGGGCCAAGCAAAAGACAGGCCTCAGTAAAGGTTCTTGATGTTGAGGAGGTGAACATGGAAAGCCATTCTGAGGAGCCAACATGTTCGTGAATGGTAAAGTCTTTGACCACAAGGACATCTGAATTCCAGGGTCTTGGGCAGAATGAAAGAAAGCTTTGAGGTCAGACAGGCCTGGATTTTAGTCTAGGTGTTGAGTTTCCTTGCTGTGTAGCCACGGGCAAGCTGTTTAACTTCTCCTAGCCTTGGTTTTCTCGTCTGTAACATTGGAAACAAAAAAGCAGCGACTACACAGGCTATTTTGAAGATTAAATAATTGCTATATGGAAAATTTTAGCAGTGTCTCTGTCTGGTAAGCAATATTAGATGGTAACCATTGAAGCATTTATTATTTTTTAAGATGATGTGTGATTATTTTCTCTCTTGGACTGATTGGAAGATGCCCATTCCATAATGTATACTAAAATTAACACTTTGTAAAAACAAATCCAGATGAAAGACCCCTCCTCCAAAATTACAAAGGCTAATGATGATTTTCTTAGGGTCTTTGATTACGATTGTTTTTTTTTCTTACTCTCTTTTCCAAATCATCATACTATGGCTTTGTTTATTGTTTATGGACAAGGAATATTAAAACGATCTTTTCTTTATAATTGGCAAATCTGTGAGCAGATATCTAGAGATTAATCTTTTTTCACATTTTTAAAGTTAAGTTCCTTTAACTTGGGGAGTATAATATCGGCAGACTGGGACTGTTTGAGAAAGCTCATCAGAACA